CATCCCTCACTCCTTCATACTGCCCTTCTCTCTCCCTCATCCCTCTCTCTGATCCCTCATTATACCACACGCCCCGTCTGCTCACCGTAGCAGGAGTTGGTGACGGAGCAGGAGGCCGAGAAGTCGAACTGCATGAAGGAGCTCTGCCCCAGGCTGATGTCCGTGCTCACGGCGTAGCGCGTGCTGGCCTTCTCGATGAAGGCGAAGGCGTCGCCGTCTGAGCCGCAGACGGGCATGTGGGTCCCGCCGGGGTGCAGCAGCCAGGAGCGGCCATCCAGGGTGGAGAAATCATCCTCCAGCGGGCCCCAGCCGCTGGCACTGCCGCCCACCACCACCTGGCACCAGACAGACACAGTGTCACAGCCTCCCGCGGTGAATGACAGCTGAACCCGAGTCAATCAGCATCAACCTCTTGTTGCAACAGAAAGAATAAGGTTCTGGATCCCGAGATGAAGTTAAACAGATGGGTTTTTTGCATGCAAGGAACAACAGAACTGAAGTCTTGTTTCCCGCAAGAAACGACAAAACCGAAGTATTGTTCAAAGTGCCGGTACAAACTTTCAGTTTATATAGCATTCTCCTGCCGCTTCTGACATCACTCATTATTATGGTAAGGGGGGGCAGGCACAGTCTATGGCCAGTTTACAGCCTTTTGACCAAATGGTCAGTTATATTAAGTCTTTTTATAATATGTCTTTGTTGTAAATGTCTGTAACAAGTCTGTAGATTTTATTTTACTTCTATTTTTTGTTTTGTTCTATGTTAATTTTATTATTTTTATTTGCTTTGGCAACACTGATTGTACCCATCGGTCATGCTAATAAAGCACCTTGAATTGAATTGAATTGAATTGAATTAAGTCCCCAGAGGGTTTCTAGTTGGCCTCTGGAATCCGTATCAGTTCTCCCTTTCCTGCCATAAACTCCTGTTGCTTAGAAGTCTAATCTTCAAGCAGAAAGGACTTAATTTAACCCCATCTTTACATCTTGTATTTTACTTCACTCTGTTTCCATTCTAATTCTTTCTAGACAGAGTTACCAGGTTTCTGATCATCCTCCTGCCTTCCTTGTTCGCTCCATGAGTGAAACACATGTGGTCTTCCTCAGGTCTCCGTTTTAGGTACACATCTTCTGTAATGTCCTTGATTGATTGTCACTTACCAATATTTCCTTTCCTAATATTAATTTGTAAGTTGATCTGCACTGGCTCTGTTTTTTATGTCTGCCTGCTATTTCTGTCATGTGCCCACTGTAGTCCGAGTCGTGACCTACACTGCACGCTGTGTGTTACAGGACCCTGCTCCGTTTTTTAAGCTCAAAGTCTATGCATGTTAAGCAGAGCTTAAAAACACAAGTTATAGTTGTATATATAGTTGCAATGTCCCAACGGCCCACTACCCCCCCAGAAAATGACAGCATGCCCAACTGCTACAAGTTTCCCCAAGCAGTCAGTCAAAACTGTGGCCACAGTGCTTGACTGGTTGATGTGATTATAGGCCAGGCAGTCCATGATAAGGGACCAAAACATGCCTCATATCCTGTCCGCTTTCAGAGGAAAGTCTGATAAAATGTATTTGAAATCTGAAAATCACAAAACTGTCGAAATGAAGTACACAACACTCTGTGACTTCAGAAGTCATTCATACACCATAAAAAGAATGTCATATCCTGCAATGTCATTTCACGTGCCTTAAGTGCCCAGTGAGTACTGTATTTAATATACTACGGGACCCTATAATTATGTAATTATAATACAGGTTCTTCAATTACATGTTGTAATAGTTATAAATGTATAGTTATGGAGCATTCCGTTCGGTTTCAGATAATCTGTGGTATCCATACCATAGTGTTGACAAGAAAGACAGAAAAAGTAGACTTGTCTTTGTACAGCAGGCAGTGGAGGACTGTAGGTTACTTCTCACACACAGAACCAGCACTATGTGAGATGAAGGCACACGTATCTGAAGCAGCAAGGATTTGGCTTAGGAGAGTACAGATTGCTGACAGAAGAGCAGAATATATCACCAGAAATCGTGACCCCTGACCCCCCCCCTCACCTGGTCCATGACCCAGGGGCTGTAGAAATGCCCGTTGTCGGAGGGCTGCCACCAGCGCAGGCGGGTGGCAGGGGTGCGGGCACGCAGGGGGAGCTCCAGGGCTACCAGACGGCCCTGGTTGCTGCTGTTGCTGAACAGGAACTCCTGCAGCAGTGTCCAGGACAGCCCCCCGTCCACCGAGAACTGCAGCAGCACGGGCTGGGAGCGGGGGTCTGGGGGGGACTTCCCACAGCCCAGCCGCAGGAAGAACTGCACGAACCTGAGACCACAGAGAGAGGACTCATACAGCACACAGCCCATACTTGACACACAGAGAGAGGACTCATACAGCACACAGCCCATACTGG